CAAATGCATTTGAAGCAGACATAAACATCAGTTTTAGTCATAAGTTTTCAATATTGTTTTGTTCGTTAGAGGTTTGCCCTCTTCTTTTGGAAAACATCGTGTCTCATTACATTACAGTCATTAAGCAGACGCTTTTATCCAAAGCGACTTACAATTCAGACTCTATCACATTATACACCGTACGCAGCTACAGGTTAAGTGTCTCGCTCAAGGACACATCGACATGCGACTAGCAGAGCTGGGAATCGAACCACCGACCCTCTGATTGTAGGACGGCCCTGCTCTCCACTTAGCCACTCGCTAAGTGGAGAGCTCATAGAAAGAAGCTGATGGAGACAAAAAAAATAATGTTTTGAGGGCCTTTAAGCATTTTGTTATCACATAAATGTTGTTTGGGAGTTGTAGTTGACCTCCCTCCTTCAGTTCTTATGCTCACACACTTCTGCCTTTGACTGTTTTATCAAAGAACCAGATATCTCCCTAATGCAGCTGCTCAGCTGATGATTCAACCAGGACGCCTCACATTTCTCTGCAGAAAATGAATTCAATTCAATTAATTTTGTATGGCCCAAAATCACAAATTTGCCTCAGAGGGCTTTACAATCTGTACAGCATACGACATCCTCTGTCCCTGGACCCTCGCATCGGAACAGGAAAAACTCCCCTTTACCGGGGAGAAAAGAAAGGAAGGAACCTTTGGGAGAGCAACAGAGGAGACATGACAGCAATAGAACTGTCACTCCTGGAAACTTAGGCAGCCGAAAGTACTTCCTCCCAATTTGCCACTCTATACCAGTTGGGCTGCATTGTATGTTTCCAGTGCACCCAACTTCACCAACCCTCCATGTCAGTGTCATCAGCATTGTTTTGTTAAAATGTGACTGTTAACGCGTTGTTGCCTGACTTGTGAAGCTTTTCAAGACTGTTTAATTCAGTTTAGAGGAAATGCCATCTCGTGTTGCCCCTTTTTATTTAACTCAGCTGCCATGACCCAAATCTTCCAAACCTACCCGCTTATATAACTTCAGCCTTCTCCGTGTGACCTGTTTCCTTGGCGTATCTACACACACACACACACACACATACATACACACACACACACACACACACACACACATATACACACACACACACACATACACACACACACACACACACACACACACACACACACACACATACAGCAAGCTTCCTGCCTATGGCCAGAACATCCTTCTGGCTCCTTCAACCTGCACCGTACCTCATCTACACACACACACACGTACATATTTTTACCTCTTCGACCATTTCTGTCAAGCTTCAAACGTGGCGGTCTTTCTTTGATCACGCTTCTGACTGATCCACACAAACATAAACACACACAAACATAAACACACACACACACACACACACACACACACAAAGTCTTACACTCTGTTCCTCTGTCTTTCCTCTCCACCCGAAAGCAAGTTTCCAAAACCTGACTTTTTGTCACACATCACATTATATCACATTGCATTTAGTCAAAAAGCCATCCATGCTTATCAAGCCCGCCTTATGTAACTAACCTCTTCAACGCCAGGACGCTGAGCCCTACGTTAAGCAGCAGCCACACACAAACATAAACAGTCTCTACTGTAGATACCGCTCATGCATGCACGAAGCCTCATATCTATTAATAACTGTGTAAAAACAGTAGTTTGACCTTATTTCTCTGCAACATAGCTCTTAATCTCCAATCTCTAAAAAATGGTCCTGTAAAATCGGGAGGCATTATGGGAACTGAACAATGAACGGGGTGCATTCTAGTTTGCACTAAACATGATATATTCAATGTCTTCATACACACTCCTTGTCAAATCTCCATTTGTGACTCTATCTATCCATCCATCTAATGTGATGATACAACTTCAACTAGATCATTATTAATGAGTTATTCATTCATTTTCATTATTCATTTTGACTGCAGAATTATGGTTTACAATATCATTATTTTACAACAATAAGATTGTGTTGAAAATGTAAGTATTACCTCAGACAATATGCAAGTTTTTGTCTTAGAATACACAATTATTAATACATTATTTAAATCAAAGATGTTATCAAATGGAAATAGTGTAGTCTTGCTAGTGGTATTGCATACATTTTCCCAAAATTCAGTCTGACATATGTCTCAAGAAACGTTTGGATCTGTACTACACTTTATAAATTGTAGTTTAGTGTCGTGGATGGAATGAAAGTGTTTTTTTTATTTGAGTTTATTTAGGTTTGAACAAGCTATGCACAGCATGAGTGGGAAATCCTAAGTGTTTGTACTTGTTGTGAGCTGCCACACTCGAGGCAGAGAGAAAAGTAGAGACGAGGGAGTCAGGATATTGTTTATATACGGCTGTGACGGTGCACATTTTCAGACAGTCGCTTCTCTGGAAGACATCCATGGTGTTACACTTGGTTGTACTCATTAAAGGGACATATAGGTGTGTTAAGAATAAACAAAGGGAGCCATAGAGAGAAGTTCAAACCCTGGCTCCTTTCTCACCTCCACACAGCTGGCCAATCCCGGCATTGTGTGTGTATGTGTGTGTGTGTGTGTGTGTGTGTGTGCGTGCGCGCGTGTTGGCATTGTTGGTCTCGGAAAGTTGAAGAAATGGTGGGACAGGGACTCCAGTAATCCGATGTCGGAAAGGTATGTGTGTGTGTGTTGGAGGGTTAGCTATGTGATCATCGGACTAAGGCTTTGTATACAAAGATTGGTTGTGTATGAAAAACACTAACACTGTGATATTGCTGATTTTTTTCATTTGGCTATACTGCTGCATATATAACACTGATTTACTCCATTTAGAGATATTGTCCTGCAGTGGAAACATTGCGTGTTTATAGAGAGAGGGAGTTATAGAGTTGGACCAGTCGTTCAATGTCCTCCTTTCATTTCACGCAGACATGACGCCCGCGACGGTGCGATCCATCAGCTGCTGGGCAGGAATGGCGTGGCCTCATCCCGGACCAATAAGCTCATTAATCAGGCAGGGTGAGGAGCGGGAGGAAGGAGGACACAGCAGTGAATCTCATTATCTTACTTCACAGCACTGCTAATCAGTACATTTATTGATGATGTCTATTCCCCTTCAGTGAGGGGATATTACTGTTTCCTTAACATGCAGGAAAGAAGGCATTGTATCCAGTATGTGCGCACAAGCAGGCTTAGGCTGATGCTCTCCAGGATGATGGGCTCCCTTCTCGCTACACAAAGACACACACACAGTTTCCTTTATGAACATGTTCGCCCCTGAAGCTATGTGAGTGGGAAAATTGTGGCAGGTTTGTTTTTCATTCCATTTTTTTTTCTTCGGTTCCATCCTAGAAATAACAAAAAAAAACCTTTATCATACTTAATGACATGAACAAATGCTCATTGATAATATGAGATTTTAACTTTTCGGTACACCGCCCGGCCCCAATAGAGGACACACACGCCTGAAGGTGAAATTGCCAGAGTGTGCAAAGTCTGAAATACACCGGATTGTGCATTGCAAGTAGTGCACAGGTGTGCAAAAAGTGCTTGGGTAATAAAAAAATAGTGTGTAAATAAAGAAACCATAGATAGAGGTTTGCAAAGTTAGACGGGCTGGCTGCTGTAGGGACGATTGGACTCGATGTTAATGATCCAACGCCACCTCCCACAGGAAAGTTTTCTGGAACAGATGGTTGCCTTTGTGTGCCGAGCTGGTGGCAGTCCTCCTTGCTGTTTGTCATCGCCCGACTGTCACGCGTCTCCTTGACGGACGGCCGCATGCAGCCAGTGACCCGCTAAGTAGAGCAGCCGTAAAGCTTTTCTCCGGGAGCGGAAGGGTGAGGCAGAGGTGGACCAGGCTGTTATGGTATGCCAGAGACAGAGAGAGGTTGGTTATTGTTGGAGAAACAAAGCCGGTGTAGAGCAGTGAGTGCTCAGGAGAAAGAGCAGAGAGATACCTCCCATCCCTCTGTCTTCTCCCCTCCTCCTCCTCCTCCTCCCCAGTGGTATTAATTAGCAGCAGCAGATGAGTGGAGAACGGGAGCCTGAAGGGAGAACAGGTTCACGTTAGGTTAGCCTGCACTGCTGTGAGCTCTCTCGCTCTCTCTCTCTTTCTCTCTCTCTCTCTCTCTCTCTCTCTCTCTCTCTCTCTCTCTCTCTACCTCTTTTCACATGTACACAACACCCACAAACAACAGGAAGTGTTACAAATTGTGTCGGTTTCCCTTCATTAGGGCTAGAACTATGAATTTGTTATTGTATAACAGTGTTGTGTCAGTTCTGCTTGAACACGCCCCCTTCACATATTCAAAACTGCATTCAACCCGACAGCACCGCAGCTTCGGACCCCTGCCCCCTTCCCTGTCTTGCCGTCTGTCTACATTGAATGTGCTTCAACCACCTTTTTTCAATCGCCAGTTTCAGGTTTGTCCGACGGAACAGATACGCTTTAGTTTGGATCAAGACATCTGTCTACATCTGCAGCACAACGACTCGCGTTTCACTCGGCACAACAGTGGAAAGGTGCTTTAATGTCACTAAAGGCCAAGATGGAGGTCCAGAGCCAGAACAAACTGTAGCTAACATCAGATACAGCAGAGTGGCAAGATAATGTCTGTGAGTTTCTTGGAAGGTGCTGATTCGCAAACATTTGGTTAAGAAGACATATTGTTTTTATTTTTTCCTTTATTTATTTTATGTCCCGACCCCGAGGTTGTGAACCACTGATAAAGGGACAGAATATCCTCTCTCTCTCTCTCTCTCTCTCTCTCTCTCTCTCTCTCTCTCTCTGGAAAAAAGGCAACTAAGTGCTGTTGCAATTTACATAGACTGGGACCAGAATCAGTGGACTGAAAATGTATTTTACTTGTTAGAAACAATGGATTTGTTGTTAAGTGTTAACTAACTCCAACAATTGTTTTTCCCCCGTTTCTTCTTCTTCTTCTCTCCTTCCCCTTTTCTTCCCCTTACCGTCTCTCCTTCTCTCTCTGTCTGTCGCTGCCTGCAGAATTCCATACGACACAACCTGTCCTTGAACAAGTGTTTTCTCAAAGTGCCTCGCTCCAAAGATGACCCTGGAAAAGTAAGTATGTCCTGAACAATGTAACGCGACTGAAAAGCTCAGCTTGAGTTAAGGTGCGGCGCACAATGAAAATACAAGCCCATTTCAGCCAGCTTACAAAAAAATGCGGCGACGGCGATTACTTGTCACGTGTTGAGTCGCCCTTGTGACGCACGTGTGTGCACACGCTCGTGCATAGGAGCGCCCAAAAGACCGCACTCACCTGCTCTGATTCTCTGTCGCACACGCAGATTGTCTGAACTTAAAAGCAATTCGTAGCTCCGGAACCACCTGAATGCATAATGGTTGCTTTCTCCGTTTTCTGCGGCTCTTCCGATATTGATTCTGCCAAGTAATAATGTGCTACAGAGAGTAATGAATAATAAGTATATGTAGGTACACTCCTTCAGTTACGAGGCTGTTCACGCATCTGTTATGCTTTATTAGGCCCTGTTTCTCTCTCGCACACACACACACACACACACACACACACACAAAAACACACACACACACACACACACACACATAATCAGAGGAAACATTGATATGTTTCACCACTGCTACTGCTGTGGTTAGGAACCACAGTTGCCACTTCAGCAGCACCGTTTTGAAAACAACAATTTGTCAACTCCTTGTTTGTGCTGAATTTTAAAAGCTCAAATGTCTGCTTTTCAACTCATCACAGGGTTCATGTGAGAAGCAATCCACCACTTTTTCAAAAAACTGACAAGCCAAAACTTTTCATCGTGCGCTCAAATCTCATTTTATTTGTAGGCGGGGTGTTCTCCAGGCTGCAGGGATTTTGGAGCCATTGAAAAATGAATTAGGGGGAAGAAGGTTTAAATAATTCAAACACAATCCATGGGCTTGAGTGGAGGCCTATAGTCTGCAAAGATACATAGAGAGCGGCTCCACCGTGATTAGCCCGACTTGGACCTGACCATTCCCTTAATTCACACCGTGGATCGAAGCGGTCGATACCTCAGCTACACATCTGTGTGTGGAGAAGTTGAATGTGCGAGCTCTGTTTGAAGCCACAGAGAGCGGGGAGAAGCTAAATCATGCATGTGCTAACGTTAATTGGCTGTGTACTGCTCACTGATGTGGGACTGAGAGACAGGGGGAGGAGAAGAGGCAAGGATGGGGGGGAGGGGGGGGAGGTGTTCAGAGATGAGCCGTGTGTGTGTGTGTGTGTGTGTGTGTGAGTGTGTGTGTGTGTGTGTGTGTGTGGCTGGCCTAGATGAATATCCTGAATTCTGTCTGCAGCTTTGGACCTCCCTGGGAGGACAGAGGGAAAATGAAAGGGGGGGGGGGGGGGGGAGACCGGCAGGAAATCAAGGACCTAAAAGCAACTGATTTCCTCCGCTCTCATTGATTGTCTTTAGTTTGGAGTGTGCTGTGTTTTAATATTGTGTATCAAAAGGATTGCAGTGGATTTCTTCGGGGAAGCGAAGCAGGAGCGTGCACCGCAGGAAAAATACACCCAGAGAAAGATTGGATAGAGAAGTGGAATAACAACTGATACATTGGTTTTATCAGATGCAAGAGATCCCTCTGCTGTGCTTTTTTTTCTGTTTAGTGACACTAAAGAAGTGGGGAAAAGGAGTCTAAATAGTATCCACAACAGGAGGAGATACACCAGAGACAAATGGAAATATTGTAAAGAATGGGATGGATATTACTCTAGCACACACAATAGTTGACAGCACAGCTAATATATTATTTACAGTAACAATGTAAGGGTTTAAATAGTTTCCTCGTACAAATATTTGACATGAAACTGAACTGGTCAGACTCTGGTTTGTGTTTCTGAAAGAAACTAAAGTCCCTCTAGGTCACTAAGAAGCTTTTAAAGTTAGTGCCTTGTTTTATGCTGTCATATGTCGGGATTACTGCCAATAATAAGAACAGGATTAACACGTTAATTAAAGAGACTGGATCCATAATTGGTTTTTACTGGCTGTGTTAAGTGAGTAGTTTACGTGATGATTATAGTTATTAAGTATTCATACAGTAGCCGTGACACCGTCACCAGGTGTTTGATGCAGGGTTCATATCACGTTCACCTCTGATCGCTCGAAGCTTAGTTTGTACTCGCTGTAATTTCGCCGGACTGTCACGTGACTGTCACAAATAGTTCACTGATAAATGTACTTTTTACATGTCTGGGGATCATACAAAGAAGGCCAGTTTTAAATGCTTGGAAACAGGTGGTCTTAAAAATCTTCATTTGGGTAAATATTCTGCCAGCCAAATCAATATTTAACCTTTATTTCTTCATAATGCATTTAATTCTTGACTTGCTTCTTCACAGGGCTCGTACAAAGGCAGTAAAGTAGTCCATGAATATGAGATATGAGTTTCCAGATAATTACATTCCCTCCTCGGCAGGGTTGGTTTATGGCTTTTTGCCGGTTACACCTACAGTCTATGGGTTACACTCGTTGTCTGTTTGTTTCTTCACTCTTCGTTTTGTCTGTACGGCCCTCTGGCGTTTCGGAGAGTAATGCAACGAACTGCGCATTTAATATGAACGCGTCCGCACATGCTTGGAGCTGGGCGCGCCGTCTGCGATAATAAACAAAGTTGTACATGGGAAGCGGTGTGGGGAGGCCGTTAGCTTCTACCAAAACAGGACAAGTGTGTTCTTAGCTGGCTTAGCTATTGGTGAGCTTGCAGTCAGGAATGGGTTTTGTTCACAGTTCGAGGGTGAATGAAGGACAGGACAACCGGAGTGCTGCTGCTGTACAGGCAGTCGTCAGTTGACAGTCAGTAAATACCCTTAAAACACAGGCTGGCCGATGTCATGTTTTTTTATTTCCACACGCGTTAATACAAAATGTGTGGGCATGGAGGCTTGGGAGTTGTTGAAAGTCCCCTTTGACAGAGGTTTATGTTTAAAGGTTACTTCTCTTTGATGTTGGTTGTGTGTTAAGGTTAAGATGCTCCAAAGATTGAGAAGATCTTCTGTGTCCACAGCTGTGAAACTTTTAAATGATTTTTGTTCGTCACATACATTGTTAGGTTTGGTCTCGTATGGATTGTTTATACAATTGTACAGTTTGAAGGTTTCATTTTATATTTGTTATATTTATGGGAGGCTGCTTATGTATTCATTGATTAGCTCTCTGACCTGTGTCTCTCTTGCTATTTGTTCGACCACCGACACCAATAAAAGATCCAGATCCGAAAACACCTTTTTTAACACAGAAATATTGAATCCTTATGAGTAATTGTATGATTAATACACAGAGTAGATATTTGTATTTATTTCACAGGTAACACAAATACAAAAAAAAAAAATATAAGTGATTATTTAAGGACTTTAATTTCCACCACTGACTGCTTATTTAAGTCAAATAGAAATAAGAGGAATATGAAAGTGTACCTAAATCAACAAGAAAAATGACAAGCAGAGTATCTTCCATCAAACACAAGACTCACCTCTTTGTTTTATTGGGGTCACTCTCCAGGGTTCGTACTGGGCCATAGACACCAATCCTAAAGAAGACGCAGTACCCAGCAGGCCAAAGAAGAGACCGCGCTCTGGAGAGAGGGTAAGTACTTTAACAACGCTCGATAAAATCTTCCTTTTAACACTAAAGCTGGTTGTTTTAAAAACCTTGTAATGTGGCAGTTCGCTGCTCAGTTGGGCTGTCGCTGCCGCAAAACAATAATCTCAATAACCGTTGTTAGTTTCCATTTTTTTATTATTATTTATTTACACCAATTCAAGCTCACTGACATCAAAGTGGCAAAAGGATGTAGCTGTGCGAGAAGGCCCGTGGTCACAAAAAACAAGAGAGCGAGAAAAGGGCAAGTTTATTTATACAGCACATTTCAGAAGGCAAGTCAAAGCACTTTACATTAAACAAAAGACAAAGTGCAGAAGAAACACATTATGAAAAGGACATTTAAATTACAATCAGTGATTTAAGAGAGAATAGAAAATATAAACAAGGAAAAAATAGAATAAGACAATAATACAATAATAAAAGTTACAGTGCAGCGTAAGAATTTATTTAATAAAAGGCAGCGGCAAAGCTTTGATTTAAGGTCAACAGAGATGCTGCAGAAATGTTTGTGTGGGAACAGATCCAATCTTTTTTCCCCCTTCTCCCCGGCTATAATGATGCCAAGATAGACCAGCAGGCAAACAAGGTGCCTTTTAAAGCAAAAAGCTTAAGAGTCTAAAGCCAAGCTGTGTGGTGTGATGACACCGTTTTGGTAATTGCTTCTGCATCCCGGTTGAAAAGAGTCTGTGATTATGTGCTAGATCAGTGATACCAAGTGAAAAAGCCAAGAGGATTTGGCGTCAGGGGAACGTATGGCTTAGAGTTGATAGGCTTCGTATATATTGATACTGTGCAGTTTTGTGTGGAACGACTTTAAACCTGCAGCTATACCTGCCTGACTGTGGTACAAATAAATGTCTCTTGCCGCATGTCATGCTTGTTTGGATGATCTCCATTAGTCTAATTGTCGACCAGAAAAAGTCCATCTTTGAATAGGGTTGTGTAATTAGGATTCTGTGAAGACACAAAAGTAGCAAAGACCTCAATTACATTGTACACCTTTTTCCCTTGGCTGAGTTGAACAGGCAGGGGTTATCTGTGACACCAGCTTTGCTTCGTGCCATTTGAGTGATATTACCCGCTTATTACTGGACCTCTACCACGTGCTGTATGAGAACCAGAGCTTATAGTCTCAATTAAACAAGGCCACCACCTTATATTGTACACACATTTTGAGACTTGTGTGGAGCCAATCTTTCAATATGCTCTAAATTTGGAATTTAGCACCCATAAAGAAGTTGCCGTAGCGTCTAGAAAAACACCTAACCTTGGATGGTTAAAGGAGCTGCAACCATTATATTGCTACATCTGCAGAGTTGACATCACCTCATGCTCTGCAGAAAATACCTCAGAGATCGTATAAATAGAACATATAAAACTGTAATTCGGTGATGTTATGATAAGTATTCATAATTTATCAACATCCCATATCGACACTAAACTTTAAGTAGCATGACAACCCTTCCTTCAGCCAACCAATTGAGCAACTATTTCAAATGGGAGTCTTTGATTCCAGTATGCAGATACCGATCTGTTTTTGTTCCATTGCATTCTGTAAGCAGCTTCTGACCCACTGAGGTTTGTCTGAATGTACAGCTGACTGTGTTTGTTGTTGCATTAAAAACCTGTAGAGTCTTTCATCATGGTGCAGCACAGCTGGTCGTCTCCCTTCTTTTCTCATCCCGTGTCTCCGTAACTCTTTGTGAATCTTGATCATTATCTTTCTGTGCGTCTGTTTGTCTGCCACTCTCTCCCTCTCTCTCTCTCTCCGTCTGTATCGCTGCTTTAGCCCTCTCCAGGGACCTCAGGCAGGCGTGGCGCAGTAAAGTGCACAATCACAGTTGCTCATTGGAGAAAGCATTGAGGTAAGAGAGAGAGAGAGAGAGAGAGAGAGAGAAGGGGGCGAAAGAAGTGTGAAAGAAAGGATGCAGAAAAAAAAGAGACCTCAAGGTAGAGAGCAGAGAGGGAAAATCGAGCTGCAAGGGGAAGGAGGGGAAAAAAGTAAGAGGAGTAAGATGGAGAGGAGGGAGAGTATTCTAGGCTGGTGTTCCAGTTAATTACCACAGAAGGCCCCGGGGCTGCCATTAGACATATTTTCTTCACCGTTTTTTTTATTACAAACATTAATTAATTCAGAGCCTTGTCATCTCGTCTTACATGGATGGGCCCTTCGACCCCTTTTCTTACGCCTCACTTGCACTGCTGGCAGACACATTGTGGGCTGTCACATGGGCTAAAGAGAAACAGGGAGGTTTTAAGTGCTAAGATTTATAGCGGTGTTACCGTCTGAAAAAAAAAAAAAAAAAAAAAAGCTGGGCTAAATATGTGGTAGTGTTTTTATTATGGTTTTGTTGCACCTAGGCTCCACTGTCAAAGTCTTTAACGTCTCCTGATGACAGCGGTTGTGCAAATGAAAAGATTAGAAGTTGGCAGCGAGGCTAAACGGCAGCTGCATAAATGCATTGTATAAATGTGTAGACAGGCAGTGTACACTTAGTTTAGGAGCTGCGTCTCCGGTGCCCCTCAGCATAATCACTTTCTTTCATTTCCTGTATGCCTCTCTCCGTCTGCCTGTCTGCCGCTCCGTCACCACTCAATTATCTCCCTACCTATTCTTCCTTTTTCGCTCTCCTTCTTCCACAAGCCTTCCTCACTCCTCTCTTCACCTCTCCGTTGTCTTCTTTTTAAGTGCCTCCACCAGGGAACCGACAACCCATTTCACTGGGAGTTTATCATAAATTAAAGATTGCATTGTTACCAACCAATCCTCTTACTGTAAGCAGTTTGGGAAGGCATGCAAGCTGTCTTGAACCCTGAAAGGAGTCAGACGAGGAAAAAAAAAAAGTCCTCGTTTTTATTTAGATTTTTTTTTTTTTCCCAATTTGCTGTCGTCAATTTAGCCCCTCATCGATCTTTGAACAGTTCCTCATATCCCCACACTCGGTTAACTCTACTTCAGCTCTCTGTGAGGATGGCAGAAAATGAACTGCTGCTGAATCCATTTTAGATGCTTGAATAATGCATGAGGAGATGGGTTCATTTATCTCATCAAGTGCAAATGATGTATCAACTTTTCAGGCTGTTTAAGTGTCCAGCCGTTATAATGAAGTGCGCCCCGACTGGTGCACATAGCTGGTGCGCGGGGGGGCGTGGCGCTGATTCAGGAGCCTCAGAAACAGAATCGTGAATTTGCAAGCGTTCAGAAATTTCTCATAAGATTTGTCCAATTAAATTTCCTTCATCATTTCTACTGACACAATCAGCTGTGAGTACTAATAGTAGCAGTGATTGTTGTTTAAGTTCATAATGATTATTTTAGGGGAGTGGCTTTGGAGGGAAGCCTGAAGGAACGGGCTGTCGGTGTTGCCGACTTGGCTACTTTCTCGCTAGATTTAGCAGCTTTTGCAGCTGGTGCTGCTAGCTACTTTCTTCTTCTTGCTAGTTTCTCAACATTACCAACCCTAGCTTTAAAATGTGCAAATGAAAATAAATGATATGCCTCTTCAAACATACATTGCTAAATATTTTCACACTCACAGATTCGTTTGGTGTCTCCGTCCTCGTTCTCAGTCCTCTGTCCTCTACTTTCAGGCATCAACTCCTTACAGCCTGGAGTCCGAGTCTCTGAGAATGGACTGCATTATGTCGGGAGGGGCGTCCCCCACTCTGGCCATCAATGCTGTAACCAACAAGGTACGACACCAGCTACTCTCGTTTGACTTAGTGGCCCTTTAAGTCTCATGAATATTCCTGTCCTAATGATGTGTAATGATGATTGTTAACAGATGAATTAGTCAAGAAGCTGTAGTCATTTGTACTTGCAGCTCAGAAGAATGTGTTGAAGTTTTTAATAATGATTACTAACTGGATGTCAGACGTACTTGCAGCAGAATGAGTCTTCCAGGTCAAACAATGCAGAGTGGTCACACACATCCAAATACCATTTTACAGGTCCTCACTTACACACACAAACGTATGTACTGAAACACACACACACACACACGCAGACTAAAAAGCTAAACTGGGTGTGACCGTCTGTATAAGGGTCAGAGATTAAGTAGCGACTGGGACCTCTGACGCCTGTCTGAACTGCCACACACACACACACACACACACACACACACACACACACACACACACACACACAAACAAAGAGAATGATGATGTGTGGTACGTGACCTCTTCGTCTGACCCCGACCAAAGAGGAACATTTGTCCCACAGCAGCAGCTCACATAACTCTTGAGTGTTTGGTTCGAGACGTAATGTGAAGGTCTGGACTTGACAGCTTATTCCAGTTCTCCATTCTGCTCTTTTCACACATTTTGACTCATACTTCCTAGAATTTGTCAACATGAAACACTTTTATTAGAGATTATTAATGCTCTTGTTAATTAAAAATGATTTCATCACCATCATTATATTGCCATGTATTCACTTGCTGCAATCATTTATCCACTAAAGATAGTAAGCACAGTGAAAAATTGCTGATGTTTGTACTTCTAGGTTTGTCTTTTGGGGTTTTGGGAAGTAGTTAAAGGTATTTCTCATTCATTTTGACATTGTAGAGAGTTAATAACAAAGTCATGCATAGATTGATATAATCTGAATCTAAATAGTTTGCGTAAATACCATTATTGTGCAAAACAGTTTTGTTAGATCCACAGACATATAGAGTCTTAAAAATGTGACAATAGAAAGTGAGAGGTGGACATCATCAACGGCCAAGGAGATCAGCGACAGTTTGCTGTAATTTACCTCTTGCATGTCAGTTTGCACTTATTCTGTTTTCACCAAAGGGAAGATTAAAACTTAATTTATCTCAGCCATCCCTATACATTTAGAAAAAAAAAATGATTCAGAGCAAGGAGAGAAAGACCTTGATGATAATGATGCCAGCGTCAATGATATCCGCCCACATCCAGACAGGTGGCGTCCTGCAGGCACAGCAGCGCATCAGAGCTTCTTTAATAACACATTTGCACACTAATATTCTGTCTGCAATGGAGAGTGCCTGTTCTTCTGAAAAAGACATTCCTATAAGACAATACTAAGAGCTTAGGATAACAGAAATGGTTTTTTTCCCCTATGCATGATTGTTAAAGTAATCATTTATTTAATTCGGATATTTTAATGTTTTTACTTGAAATCTGAAATTCCTAGAAATTGAAGCTCTGCCAAGTCTAAAAAAACACAAAGTTGAAACCTTTCCAGAGACATCATGAGGTGTTATATGATCAGTTTTTCCTTTTTTCCACTAATGTATATAGACTTTAAGTGTTCTCATAAACCACATAATTATTTCCTCGTTACTACAGTAACACAGCAAGGAGAATTACATGTTCACTCAGATGTCCCCAAATACACCAAAACAGAAAACGTTCACGATTAACACTTAACGAAGCCGACTTTTGAAAATGCTTATTTTTTCCGCTACGAGAACATCTACAGGGTAGAGCACCGCCCCAGAGAGCCTTTACTGTTTTCTCACCCGGAGGCTATCATTTCACATTTGTCTATACAATTAAATGTAGCCTGGAGGTAATGCTGGTGCTCTTCTTCACAAGTACTGGCAGTCAAAGACAACAAGTAAAACATGATTCAACATGATCCCGAGGCATTTCTTTTGAAAGCTTTGTGATCCGTCACCAGAAGACCACATGCAGTACACTTCCTCTGAAACAATAAAGTCATTTCTGAAGTTACCTATTTGTTTCTGGGTCGCGACATTTAATCAAAATCGCCATGTTCAAGGAAGAAAGATCATCATTAGTTAACGTTCCGTGCTGACCAATTTGCATTTACCAGCACTTTAATTTCCATATTTCCTCATGCGTTGTCCCATAAGTTAATGGTGCTTGGGTAATGTGTTGAGGTGGACAGAGTTCACTTTAGGCTGGAGATAAGTCTGCGAATGGACAAAATGAAGGAGCGGAACTACAACATCTCAAATCACTACCTTTAGAAGGAGTTAATATGGAGCATTGCCTCAACATTTTGGCCCTGTGTAATTTGCCTTTATTGTCACATTAACAATAAATGGATCGTGTGTGTATGTGTTTGTGTGTGTAGGTAGCACTCTACAACTCCGAGGCAGAAGGCAGCGAGAGTCCTGGTAGTCTGGGCAGCCTGAGCAACAGCCTTTCAGAGCAGAGTTTGGCATCCGTCAACCTGAACAACCTGAACAACCTGAACACTGCCGTCAGCAGCGGCAGCAACGTACACAGCTACACACCAGTAAGTTCTTCTCTTTATTTTGGGTGACAGTCTAATGATTGCTGAAGGAAAATATCTCTATTCTTATTTCTGTCTGCACAAGAACAACAGCTGACCTGCCACTGCTACAGACCCTTATTTAAGGACACTGTCTCCCACTTTTCTTCTTCTTTTTTTCAATGATTATCTCAAACTGGCAAACGTTCAACCGGCAGCATTCAAACTAAAAGTTTTTACTACGTTCACTTGATTCTGAAATAAACCGGATGATTCAGTCACCAGTTCAGACACTCTCAGCCAGTACAGAAGGTGTCTTAGCAGACTGAGGAGGTGGTTACCAGCTAACGACATGTACGCTGGATCTACAGTACTGCTGGAGCTCTGTGTCACATTTATACTTTGCAAGCAAATATATATTCAGTTGGATTCTGCAGAGCACATTTAGTGTGCTTAGATGACACTTGCATTGTTCTGTACAATGTAAGTAGAGTTAAGCAGATGGCATGAACAGACACGTTGATATATCTTTTTAACCTGGATAAATCATAGATTTTAGTGGTGCTCTCTTGCTAAATAATTCAAATGTTTTGCTAAATATCCATTTTATTGCTGTTTGACATGCAGAGACATGCATGTTTTCTATATGGAGAATTTATTTGGGCTCCCCAAACAAATCAAATTGCCGAGACCCATAAAGATGTTTGTAATTATTTTATATATATATATATATTTGTTTTCTTTTCAGAGTTGTGGAAATGCAATTAAAAGTGCAGGTTGATTGAAAACTCTCTTGCTTGTTGTTGAATGTTCAATGTTCAATTTTTGTTTGGCAGCCAGCTATCAATACTGTTTGCGGCCCCTCACACTCCTCAAGGTCTACCAGCACTAATAAATGCTAAACCTGTAGCAAATGCTGGTATTTTTTCATAGAAGTGCCTCTGTCGAGCAAAAAGATGAAACATCAGAGTCCTCCCTCTTCGTGTTGACAGTTCACCGGCTCTGATGAATATGAACGATGCCTGACCACTCCAGAATGAATGACTTTGAGACAAAAGGGGCAAAATTTTGTACAATAAAATCCAGATTAATTAATACATATTTAACCTGCAGTTGCACACTTAGATTTTCCCGTCTCTTTGCCATTTACTGCACTCACATACTCGCACACAGCGAGGTTTATTTGTATCAAGGCGTCTCATGTCATCTACTGTACTGGTGCCTACGGGCTTGGCCGACGTAAAGTACACCCGGGACTTGGCAGGCCGCAGACGCACTGAGACATTTGGCCAGATGTGTGTGAGACGATAACGAGTCGCCTTTTTTTTATAAAGGAAACTTATTACAACAAACAATTCATCCCCAGCTGATCAATTGCAGAAAATATGGCTGGAGAAGGAGTCCATTATATAAGAAAGGCTTTTGACAAAAAAATTTGATTTGATCTCTAAATTTAAAATGTCACAGGTTTAGATGCAAACAGGTTTTACTTAAATTGGCAGCTGGACACTTTCAAAAAAAATAAAAGTTGACTGAAGATCTCAGTCGTTAATGGGGACTTTTGCATTTCACATGTTTGTCAAAGTGTTTGTGTTCTGTCCCTTTAAACCAAATATAACACAATTTTTAAGGCCAGTCTCAGCCCAAAAACATTTGGTCCAAAATGACAGGAGTGCTGAGAAGTCCCAACTCTTTATTATTTTCCCCTTGTAACAGCTGCTCACCCTTTTACCATCAATCACTTTGCCCCACTCACCTCCCACCTGCATTAGCAAAGGTCAGTGCAATCTCATCTCGTTAACCTCTCATTTCTGGAGGCCGTCTTTCCTCCTCCCTGCATCGTCTCCTCCATCCCTTGCCCTCCTCCTCCATCGCCTCAGACCTCATCTGCGGTTTGGTCCAGGGGGATCAGGGTTAGTTCTGCCTCATTACCTGGCACAGGTGATACCCCCCCTAACTGACGGTGATTACTAGTGGCATCGCTGGCAGAGATCTCAAAGACACCAAGAAAGTTGACGGAGAGGCATCCGTTACTGGGTTGGAGGTAGACGTGTGGGGGATGCGTCATGCTAAGTCGGCTTATATCTGCAGAGGCACACTGATCACAGCAAATTGCCTGTGTTTGCCGGGTGGATGGTGAGGAAGATGACAGCTAGGATGAGACGATTGAGGGTCGAGGGAGACAGGCAGCAATCACTATGGGAGACAGAAAATTGAAGCAGTGGATTTTGTTTTTGTGTGTTCATACGAAAAGGAAATTAGTGGCAGCCAAGATTCCCTTTTAATTGCGTGAAATTTAATTTGGTATGATAATCCTAGCGAATAAAGAAAAAATTATTTGGTAAATAGAATTAATGTGAAAATTTAATTTGAATGGTACAATTGGAAAATAAATTAAGTTTCTTGAAACTGAATGTGAAAAGTATTGAATGTTACTTTTTATCCGTTTTACGATGCAGCTCTCCCAATTTAAATTCAGGTTTCTCAATTTAGACAGGTTGCAGCCCACACCAATGTGTGTGTGTATATATATATATATATATATATATAAAAATGCATGCACAGTCCATATAAACATTTGCTGGTCATTAAATCTGTGCAGTTACTTGGTTCCTTCCACCTCCACAGCCTCCTCCTGTATTAGCTTGTAGCTGTTCGTTATGTGTTAGTATATGTTTATGTAAGTCGGGGGGTTGTGAGCTCAGGGACAGTCTGTGTCAAGCTTGTGATATGTGTCAAAGCATCCCCAAACTGAAACTGTTGCTATAAATGATGAGAACCTCGAATTTTGTGTCATGACTGAACAGTTACCGACCAGGAATGTGCACATCGCCATGTTTTATTTGTGACTGTAGTGCTTTAATGGATGATGTTTCTGTTTGTTTATGATAAAAACCCAGACCCCCGGTACTCCCATTGTACCAGCGCAATGGCCTTCTTGGTCTTATTGAAATATGTTTTTCTTGATGCAGTGCCGATGTCAGACTGACCGCAGGCTTTACACTTTGAGCTGTTCGTGTGAATTCAGCCTTTGATGTATTTTTTTCAAACCGATTCCTTCATTGATGTATTTTTATTTTTTTTTACCTCTCACAGTCTCTATGTCTGTTCCCTCTCCTCTGTCTTGAAGGTGAGTAGCCACTCAGAGCCTTCGTCCCAGTCCCTGAGCCTCCAGCAGCCCGCCCAGCCGCCGCTGCCGCCGCCGCCTCCCCCACAGCCCCAGTACGATCTGCCCGTCCTGGAGTCCCGGGACAAGCAGCTCTGTTTCTCAGACTTCGAGGACCTCAGCTCTTCTTTCCGCAGTCTGTACAAGTGCGTCTTTGAGCAGTCCTTCTCACAGCAAGGTGGGTGTCGACCCTCATTTTGCATGTGGATTAGTGTGTATCTGTTCATGTGTACCCGTCAAACATCTTAATTGACGCATGTGTTTTCAGGAAAAACAACAACGTGTAGACCTCTATGTCATGCACATAATTAGCTGTCAAGCTTAAGCTCCTAATGAAATGCTAAGAATTTAACATTGCTGTCACAGCACTAAAAGCATTCCAGTATTAACCTCCATCACACTCTACTCCTACTCCACTGTATTTTAATAAACAACCTGTTGTTCCGCATATCTGCGTTTTACGACTCGCTCAGTCAATTGAGTAAAGGCAATTAAGAGGAAGAATTCTACAGAAGAAGGAAGAAAAACTCACAAACACATCCACGGTCGAGCAGAGCAAACGGGTTTCGCAGCTTTGATAGCAGCTAATTAGATTGGTTCTACAGTTTGTGAAGCATCTTGCTAATTGCTTCCTGAAGCTTTCAGGTCACCAGGCCTCGTTCCACTTCGACCCCCCCCACACTCCTATCACCTTCCCTCTTTTCGCTTTCGTCTCCACACACACACATCCACGTAAGTTATGTAAGCGTGGAGATTGATGCGCTCTGTTGAGCTCAATAACTGCTGCCTGTATTCACAGTCTGACAAGGTCCCCTTCACTTTGTGGTCAGGGGTGCACACGCAGAAAAATATTGGGGGGGGGGGATGATACAGACAACTCAATAAGAAAGTGAATAAGAAAATGGATTTAGTGGATCTTTGAAAGGGTCCCTGAAGTGTGAGGCTTAGCAGGAAGTCACAGTATTTGAGTCACAGTGAGTCTCCCGGACTTCATCGCGTCCTTTGAAAAACTACAGTGAGTCCGAAGACCGCACACCAAACTGTAAGTGACTCAGGTCAGTTTGAACAATGGAGACAAAATGAACATCAAATTAATAATAGCAGGGGGTGTAAAAGACTCACGATACAAGCCTAACAACTCCCTGGCGGCAGGAGGGAAAAGTTACTCACTGAGATGTGCTCAGATAGCCTCGTTATGATTTGTTGGTCAGAAAAAGAAAAACTCAAGTCCCTCTGTATCGCTCCTCTGATGTTTGAAGAGATCTTAACAGTCACTGCTCGGGCATTCTCTGTCTTTTGGTGATAAGTCATGAAACAGCAGATAAAAGAAAAGGTCCAAAGACTCTCAACAAAAGAGATAAATGTAGTTATGGAAAGGAAATAAGTTTCTGACGATAGTGCACTCTCTGCTGGCCACACCTTTGCATCATCTCTGTCTTTATATTTAACCAGTATTGATTGTTGATTGCTGTGACAATCATTTACATTTAACTCGACTTACATTACATTTAAAGGAGCAGTGCGTAACATTTAGGGGGATTAATTGGCTGAAATGGAATATGATATTAATAACTATGTGCCTGAAACTAAGTATCGTTGTGTTTTCCTTAGCTTAGAAAAAGCCATTTATATCTACATAGGGATCGGGTTGTCTTCCACGGAGTCCGCCATCTTGTACCGCCATGTTTCTACAGCAGCCCAGAGCGGTCAAACCAAACACTGGCTCTAGAGAGAGCCTTTCGTGTTTTTTTGTTATCTGAAGAAGATCGGTATCAAACGTGCCGCGGTGCTGAATTATTAAAGACCGGAGTTTTGATAAGCTCCGACGTTACTGGTGTTTATTTATTATCACGCTGCAGCGAGCATCTCCTCTGCTCTCTGTGTCGGGCTGAGCTCATCCAACTACACACACACACACATAGACACAAGCACACACACACACACACGAAGCGTCAGCGAGCAAAGATTCTGCGGTGGAGACCGTGAAGTGAACCAGAATACTGGAGTTGAAGGCAATTACGCTCGTTACTGTTGGTGCAATAAAATATTTGCGAGTAAAAGCCAATACCCAATCAATACATCTGTTCAACAAGCATTAACGTGTAAACGAAAGTGAAACCTAATTCAATCGGCTCTGTCACCCAAAAATCACCCAAAAACTGTAACCCTACTGGGTGATGGGCATGAGGAATATTCTGTTATGATATATATGCACCAGGAAGTAAACCATAAAACAGCTCCTCAGTGCTGTGGCTCAGGTCACATACTGGTTTGCCAAAAATAACCTTTTGAGTGGCATGAAAGCAAGAGAGAGTCGTAGACAGTCTGTAGCTGGTGACACTGAAACATGAGTGGGTGTAAATGTGTGGGAAAAAAAGCTGCAGAAATACCTTGGTCAGATTAAAAGGGCAACGTGAGGGTTGAATGTACATGTATATTCCACAGATCAACAGTATTTTCAGTCACACCAAGCCTCCAGTTTTTTTTGTTTGAATTTTTGTCGTTTTCTTGTTTGCTGTCCTCACCCGTGATATTTTTTTGTCTTTGTCTGTTTTGTTTTTTTCCAGCAGGTTTGATGGGTATGCCTGGTGATTCCAGCCAGCAGGCCCGGACCGCCTGCTCCTACCAGCACTCTCCTGGTGCGGGAAACGGCGTCGGCCACCACCACCAACACAACCACGGTCAGACGTCACACCACCCCCACCACCCTCAGCAGCACCTCTCCCCTCACTCCAACCACAGTCAGCACCAGGCGCACGGTCAGCATGGCCAACACCAACAGCACCCTGCTCATTCCCAGCAGCACCCGTCTCTCTCCCACCAGAGTCACACCGGACAAACCTGCCCCTCAACAGGTGAGAACAGAGCCGCAGTTTTTACGGTATACGGTTTTCATGTGCAGGCGTTGGAAATGTCTGGCTCTGGTGACACCTAGTGCACAGTATCAAAAAAGACAAAACATCATACTAATTAGAAAGACGCTATAAACACAAAAACATTCCACTAAAAAGAGTTTTCTTCAGCAACATGCGACACCCAGAGTTATTGAACAATAACAATCTTGTGATTGAGAAATCCCATTGTTTCCATGAGTTATGGCTATTAATGATATTCACATCATATTGCACTACGTACTGAGCATATTGTATAGAGTATTAATACAAGCAGCTGAGTGGGAGAACCGCTAACATCAGTCTCCTAGGTGTAATCGCAACTTTAGAAGCGTCCACGAACTGGAAATATAATCCAACATCAACATTCGTAACGTCAATGCAGCTATTTCTCTGCTCTGCTGCAAACCTCTTTGCTGATTTCTCTGTGTGAAAGGAAGCTACAAAGTGTACGGTATAGTTTATTGTCTCCTAGATATTGATGCTGTTCAGCAGCGAACAATGATTCTTCTCCTCCCGACTCCCAGAGCAACATTGGTGTAAATACAATTCACCTTAAACATCCGAATAGGCTTGTCTCGGCACGGACTCATTGCATTTATATTATATTCTTTCCTCTGTAAGGTCCCAGAGCATTTGGTATTATGAGGCTGTGCTGATACAGACAGGCATCTCCAAAGCTTCACCGAGGCTTATCCTGCTCATATTCCCAGTCTTTGTTTTTCTTTTTGGGTTTTTTTTTTTCCCTTTGTGTCTCCTTTGTGGCAACACAGCTCTCAGGCCAAAGAAGGTACTCTTCAGATATTATTTATCTAGGTTAGTATTCCCCTCAACCAGGCAGAGGATGAGTGAAAGCAATCCCTCAGTCTTTGATCCACGGCATCCGAATGTGTTGTTTAGTTTGCGGTGGTGAAGGCGGTGGAAGGCATCTTCCTTTATTTTGTTCTACCAAGAGCAAACCTGTGGCTGGCATTTTTCAATGTGAAGTCACACCACCTTGTGGTTGACTGCAGAACTTTACTGAGACTTTTTAATCTGGATTAGTTCAGATAATTTAACGCTGCCACACTGATCACACTGAACTTGTATTTATTTTAGTGTTGAAACAATTAGTTGACACTTTGATAACTGATTAATTTCGGTTTCATTTATAATTGTAAATTAAACGATTTTGTAGATGTCACCTTGGGGTCCGGGGAACTTGTGACGTGCTCAATTTACAAACGACTGAACAACAACATTTTTGAACGTGTGTATGTGTGTGTGTGTGTGTGTGTGTGGTCTCTCTCCCAGACTGGTACCCCAATCTGGACTGGCTGAAGGAGAGCTGCCGCATTGCTACCAGCTACAACTGGGCTGATGTAGACCTCTCCCCATTTCAAGGTAACACACATCCTGTAAACACACACACACACATGCACCACCAAGAGCCATCAGTGTAAACAGCATCTGAAATGATGAAGCTGTCTACTGCAGCCTGTTTTGACACAGTGAGAATTGATATAATGCTTATTATGCCGATCAGTTACTTTGATTAAACCATTACGATTCCTCTCTGAGCTTTCATATACATACATTCGCCCTTGAGGCCCAATATAATAACATCCAGTGTTGTAATAGTAGCCCTAATAAAAGTCATTATCCTGCATCTGAGAGGTTGCCCTCTCTGTCTCTCTCACACACACACACACACACACACACACACACACTGTCTCCCTCCCTTCCAGTTGTATGATGTGAATAATCCAATTAGGCCCCGGCTCAGTAACAGCCTCTTATCACGGTCAGCACACAAAGCCGGCAACATCCACACACGATGGATGGCGATGGCTGGTCTTACAACACACGGGCCCCGCTGCCGCTCTCTCTCTCTCTCTCTCTCTTTCTCTCTCTCTCTCTATCTCTCTCTCTCTCTCTATCTCTCTCTCTTTCTCTTTTTCTTTTCCTGCGGCGCTTGACCTCCCTCACACCATCGTAATGCCATCCTTCTGGCTCACCTCCAAAGAGCAGGGGCCGAGCGTCTCGTCTCTGTCGACGCCAGGCACATTGGGAATTTGATTTTTTTTTAAATATCAGACAGCAGGTTGTGAATGGAAGCTTAGGTGTGTCTTTGTTTGAAGAAGAGAAGGTGTTATTCAGGGTCTCGTTCTCCGTCTCCAAATGTGAACAGGCATGTTGTCAAAGTGATGGTCAGCGCTTGTAATTTAGGTGGAACAATAGTGACAGTACATTTTACATTAGTTGGATGTTGATTACGTATGATTTTGTGATTCTGATATGAAGTTTTTCTGTAAGGTGCTTGGAGTGTTTGCCTGGAATAAGTTATTTCTGACTGAAGCATTGTTAGTCTGATGTAAAGGACATGTTACTGTGGATATGATTCAAGAAGAATCAGATTCTACCTTATTCATGAATCAGTGCTTAATATATCTTATTAATTATATAATAATAACCTTGTAAATCCTGGATATTTTCACATTTAATGAGTGTGATGTTGCTTCAGTGAACGATTGAAACAGACAGAAATTGCAGGTGAAGCTGTTTTACAGTCAAAATAAAAGTTAGAAATGTAGATATTACAACAATCTAATATTGAAGCTGTGAGATATGTGGGACATTCAGGTCGATCTTTGTGTCTCTGTCGGTCTGCCAGGTCTGAAGGACAGCATGCGGCAGGCTGAGCTCAACAACTGGTCGCTGGACGCCGCTCAGATGGCCGACCTGTGCTCCTCCATTAACCAGTTCTTCACGGCTACGGGGGTCATCCCCCCGGTGGGCGCCGCCCACCCGCAACCTCAGGTCCCGCACTCGACGCCACCTGGAGCACCGCAGCACCCGGCTCAGCCGCACGGGGCGATGCACCCAAAGGCCAGCCAGCACAATCAGCACGGGCAGCACAACCAACATCACCAACACATCAGCACGGGTCAGCAGACAGAGCAGGCTTTGAAGATACAAGATACAAAAGCTGTAATTTACGAGTTTATCTCAGTTGTTACTCCAGCTGTCAGATGAATGTAATAGAGTAAAGAAATACAATATTCCCCTCTTCTTAAGAACGGTATTTTAAACCTCCCACCTTTGACTGGAGGCGTTCTCTTGCAAGATTTCTGCACTTTCTTGCTGTGACGTGAGCTGAGTTACAGTCTCTCCCCTCACTGTGCCTTTGTTTTCATTATTATAGATTTACAAGAGAATTGTGGATGTTGTCGGCTTCATGGCAGCTGGAGTAAAGATATGGAGACGAGGAGACATTTCACCAGTGGGAATTCCAGCCCAATCTGTAGGATTTCTCAAGCTTAGCATAATATGGCAGTAAAACTGTGCGCGAAGGCGATCGCAGCTCGTGTTCTGCAGAGTTGCATAGGCATGTGTGAAAGCCGGGATACTAATCTGACAGTTAGTCATTGGCCTTTTGTCTGTTCTCCCACAGGGAACATGTACATCGACTCGAGACAGAGCATTTCCTCTCTGATGGGCCCACCAGGGTACCCCCACATGCCTCCCATGAGCAACACAGCTCCCACCATGACAGGTGACTGCTCCATCGCTCTCTTAGCAGGTCAGGAGGAGCAGGTGGAAGTGAAGAGTGTATGTGTGTGTGCAGGTTTATATCCATGCAAGTGTGTGTTTGTGTGTGTGTGTGTGTGTGTGTGTGTGTGTGTGTGTGTGTGTGTGT